TTGTAGCAATGAGTAGTTCATCCTGTCATCATCAAGTGGCTTGTGGTTTGACTGATTTATATTTGGCCAGTAGGCTCGAAATCTTTCAAACATTCCAATGTTGGGGCCACGGCTTGGACCAAACAGAACTGTGAAAACTTCACCGATTATCAATTCATGTACATGATGACGACAAGCAAAGTGCAAGAGATTTCTATGGAGCAGTTTCTCCAGCAAAACACATGCTCCACTTGACGTCCCAGTATTGGCAGCAGTAGTATCAAAGCACATGCCTATAATGTCTTCACTAACGTCCCATAATTTGAGCAACTGAAAAGTTGCATTGGCCTGTGCTTGTCCCGTGCTTGATGCAATTTTAACAATTCCTAAGATTTTCTCCACATTACAGCCAGTCACAACAACAGCCAGTCTATCAGTTCTGGAGTGTGGATCATCATTCATGATCTTCCCATCCCAGTGAACCAGAAGGGGGTTTCTGTCACGATCCTGAAATTGTTGACGAATACTGCTGTCAATGGTTGATCGATGTTGCTGTCGTTTACGATGAACTGTGGAACGTGACAGAGATGTATCCCCGATGTCTTGCCCACTAGCTTGTGCAATGGCTGCTGCTAATACTGTGAACTTTCTATCTGACAGGTTTATTCTATCCAGTGCTGAAGCAACATCTGGCGACGACAACATATTCTGCACAGTTCGTGTTTTTTTACTGGCACTGCTTGACAGACTGTCTTCTACTTCACTGATCTGCTTTTTGTAGTACACTGGAATTTCAATTTCATAGTTGTCCTCTGTGTCCTGCTGTTCACTATCACTGTCATCAGAACTAGATAAATGTAGTGAGGTACTTTCTGTCATCCGCTCCTGCTCTCGCTCTTTTCTCTCTTCTTTTTTGCATTTACGTTGTTCTGTGCGCTCTTCTTTCTTGGTCAGGTCTTTATCAATGCCACTCATTTGCATTCGTCGACTGCCCCTCTGGTCTTCAAGAAATTCTATATCTTCCTGAATTCGGATGAGCTGCATGGCGTGTTGGTGAGCAATATCAAACAGCATGTGCTCCTTTTCTTCAAATTCCTTCTCTCGTGCTCGTTGTGCTTCACTTTGTCTGTTTTTGGTTTTTTTTATTAGATTGTAGTCATCAACTACCGACTTTACTTTTTCTACAACATGAGTATGGTAGGTTGTTGGTATTCTAGCCTTGTTCCACATGTCCATGACCTTATCTGACGACAGTTTTGCACTTTCAGGCACAGTTTTCTTTTCTACTTGATGATAATAAAAAACATTCTCAGGAAATCACCTGTTGTAGGCAATACATTTACTGGAAGTTCACTTTGTAACTGTCCAATCAGCCATATGTTAGTCATGCTGCGTGTTGTAAGAGCACCACAGTTTGAATTAGAAGCCATTTTATACGTAGTTAAATATGTACAGTACCGGTATTTCAAAATCACCTCAAATTATTAGTAAATCGACACAGTTATGCAGAATATTTATCCTATTTTACTTTTTGCTGACAAACAATATGGTGACCATAGAATATTTAATAATAATAATGCATTTTAAAATATCTAATATCTATGTTTTGAATTAAGTAAGTAACCAACTTTTGATACTTTTCCAGTTATATTGGTATTTGGTTTCGAAATAAGGAATTATCACATTGTTAGATAATTTTGAGATGCATGAGCAACCTCTAAATTTAATTTGATTCGTCTTATTTTTGGTTTGTAAGTTTTTAGGACCCAATGGAAACTTTTCAGAGGGTGTGCACTCAAATCAGACAAAAAATTTTATTTCCCCATTCAAATGTGAACCACCCTAATGTAGGTGTGTGTTTGTGTATGTATGTATATGTATTTCATTTCATTTTAAAAGTTTTATTCATAATCAACAACATATCAAATAAGTGAATAAAAGTTATGAAGTTGAATATGCGGAGACCGAATAAGACTGTTTGTCTTGTGGTGGCCACCGCAGATAGATACATGAATAGTTAATGAAATAAAATAAGGAAAATAACTGAAGCAGAAAGATAATTGAAGATATATAAGTAAATGTTCGTGTCATACATATATAGACATTGTCAGGGAGGTCACCTATATTATAATTAAAAGTTGAGCGCTATGACATTTTGTTTCGGGAGATAACGGGCGATAAAAGAAGGGAACGAGGGGAGATTAGAAGGAATATAGAACGTTATTGAACGAGCGAATTGAATATTGTGAAAACGAATTTGGAATGAATATTGTGAAAACAAATTTGAATAAATATTATTTGAAATTAAATTTATTTAATAAATTTAATACAAAAACGTTGAATTGAATAGAATATTGTTAAAATATTGCCAAAACGGATAAAACAATATTAATCTAATATATATAAATAATCTTAAGAAATTTTGAACGACAAAAATATTCAATATGTTATTATAATGTTCTGTTGCCGAATTAAATTATAATTTCTGTTGATTGTCTAGTTTCATTGATCTTGATTATTGACGTTATATTAGTGACGAACCTGACATCTGGCGCAGTCGACAGGATAACTAGGCAGGTCTACTATCAACAAAAAAAAAAAAAAAAATTTTGAGAATATTGATTATATCATTACAATATAATGGATAAATTGGCAGAAATTAAAAAAATGTCTACCGAGCGCTTAATGACGAAAATGATTAAATCAGGAAGGGATGAGGCAGAGGTACGATCAATGTCAAGACAAGAGATTATCGATGCATGTCTCGCTAGCGAATTGATGAGAACAGAACTTCTGACCGAAACATCTGAACCTCCCCAGAACGTAACTGAAACGGAAAGATGGAAATTTGAGAAAGAACTTGAATTTAAAGAAAGACAAGCGGCGAAGGAACTTGAATTTAAAGAAAGACAAGCGGCGAAGGAATTTGAATTTAAAGAAAGACAAGCGGCGAGGGAATTTGAACTGAAAGAACGAGAACTCGAATTGAAAGAAAGACTAAAGGAAGAGTTAAAATTAAAAGAAGATGAAATGAGATTGAAAGAAGATGAACTCAGATTAAAAAGGGAAGAATTTTTATTAAAACAAAAGGAAAGTAATTCGCTAATTAATAGAATTAAAAAGTTCAGCGACACGATGAAAGAACAATTGTGGAAAATGCCCCAAAACCCTAGTGAACTACCAACTTTTTTTGTACATCTCGAAAACGCTTTCTGTTCTAATGGAGTTGATCAAGATGTCAAGTCAAGACTTCTTCAAATGTGTTTACACGATAAAGCGAAGTCTATTATAACTCGATTAACAGTGCAACAATTAGATGATTATAATACTTTGAAAGAATTTCTACTGAGCGAGTTTAGAATCAGTCCAGTCAAATTGCGAGAACAATTTTTCGGCACGAAAAAAATACCAAATGAAACGTACCAACTATTATTATCGAAGTTAAAAAGCTTATGGAATTTTTATCTTAAAAGCAGAGAGATTGGAACAGATTTTCATAAACTAGTGAACTTATTAATGGCCGACCGAATGAAGGAGTTGCTACCCAGAGACTGTTTAAATTTCGTTCTTAGCCAGGAGCAAGATGGCTGGTTAGATTGTGATAAGTTAGCACGAATAGCTGATAATTATGCCGCGACATACGTCAAAGATAATAACAGATCATATCATCGTGAAACGGAACAAAATTCTTTTGTTGACACTGCATTTACTCAGTTTGATACAAGACAGGAAGCGAATCCACGCATATTGGA